AGAAGGGTCTTAGCAAGGTTTGGAAACTTACCAGAAGGTCCACCAGAGTGTGTCATTCTGCGGAAAGCACTTGGGGTGAAAGGCTACTCGGTCGCACCAAGTACTGTGTGTTTCCAACGCTCCATGCAAAGATAATCAAGCCAACGCAAATAAACAAAAGAGCCCGCCTTCATCGTCCACAATTGATTTTTAGCAGAAAATACTCCTTTGAGATTAAGGCTTAGAGAGTCTTTAGCATTTCCCGTGTTTTCTCTGATACAATCGCTCTTTTGATTTTTCTAAGTAGAGTTAAATGTGCTCTCTTTGAGGAATTGGCTATTTGTTATGAGGAGGCCCTTCGTGGATTCATATGAGGAAACTGAACAGTAGAAACCAGAACAACATAACTCAGCTGACAAGTGGGGAAGAGAGTGACAGAAACATGCCAGCAATAAATCTTTCCTAATTTGACATTTTTGGAAGTATGTTACTAAAATTTTCCTCTTTGGATGACTTCTTGTGGCACAGATGCCCATAGTTTATGTTTTGAAACAGAAAAAAAAATTAATTCAGTCAGATTCATAAAAATGGCTAGCTCCCATGTCTTTCTTTGGCATGTAAAAACATATAGTAAGCATGTCCTTACAGCTTGGGATGCTGTAAGGAAAGCCCAGAGCCTGAGTAATTGACACATAGTAAACACTGACTTCTTGCTGTCCCCCTATCCCAGAATGGGGGATGAGCAGCATCAGGGAACTAGTCTGGCAAGAAACTATTTTCTGGTTCACAGATGACACCTTCACCTGTGTGCTCTCTGAGGCCTCTCTTCTTAGGTTAGAGCTATGGTTTGAATGTGCCCCAGGGGCTATGTGCTTGAACATTCCGTCCCTCCTGGTTCAGGTGTTTTGAGAGTTTGTCCAACCTTTATGGATGAGGCTTCATTGGAGGAAGTGGGCCACCGAGGAATAGTCAGTCCCTGAGGGTATAGCCCAGCCCTTCCTTGGTCCTGCCTTCTAGCTTGTTGCCCACTTGCTTCCTGACCTACCCATGTGTAAACAAATTCTTACAGACACAGCCATCAGTATGGTCACTTTGCCTCCTGGTCACATTCTTCTCAAACCACAGGCCAGAATACATCCTCTTTCTTCACTTGAATTGCTTCTTATAGATATTTTATTCTGGTGATAAGAAAACTAATTAGACACTGCATTCCTGAGAGATTTGCCCTCCAAGGTTCTCCCCAAAATATCAAAGCATGGGTGTTCAGATTTTCCTAGTTAAAATTTTTAGAAGGATTCATTCATCCTATGGCATATGTTCAGCAAAATTACCACCAACTACCCAGCCATTGTACTTGGAACTCCAGAACAGCTGTTTCCCTCCCTCCCTCCCTCCCTCTCTCTCTCTCTTCCTCCCTTCCTTCCCTTCTATCCTTCTTTCTTTTTCCTCTCTCTTCATCCATCCCTTCCTTCCTACTTTTTCTTTCCTTTTCTCTCTTTCTCTCTCCCTTCCTCACTTCCTCACTTCCTTCCTTCCTTCCTTCCTTCCTTCCTTCCTCTTTCTTGCCTTCTTTAAACATGGTCTATAGAATTTGAATTCAGCTTCTCTTGCTTTCACAGTAAATACTAACCCGGCTATCTCCCCTGCTGTGTGTTTTTGTTGTCATTTGTGTTTTGTCCATTTCTGAGAGAATGTAGCCCAGGCTGGCTTCAAATTCACTGGTCTAAGAACAACCTTGAACTCTCATCTGCCAGCTCCTACTTCACAAATGCTACTGTCTCTAGCTTAAAGATTCCCAGTTTTACCAGTCATGTTTGCTGTGGATATCTTTTCAGGGAGGTCCTCCCGTTTTCCACAATGCACACTCATAGACACACACCATCTAATAGGCTTTTAGGAATCATGACCACTGTGCCTGTGTTCTGGCATGCCTATTACTGTTTGCCTGTTAGCCTAAGTCTTAACAGTCTTTTCCCCTGTCCCTGTATTGTATTACAAAATCTTTTTGATTTGTTAGATTTTTATTACTATTTTAGGAACCGGTGGATGCAGAGAAACCATAACAAAAAGCTTTATAATGTGATCAGTAGAGCTTTGAACAGGTTACCGGTTGGGACTTTTAAACACTCTATTATAGCATGCTTTACCTTTCAATGTATTCCTTGTAGACTTTGTTCTGTTTACTTTTGCATTTTCATTTTGCAATTATGCTTCCTAAATTGTAATAAAGAGGGAAAAAATTGCCTGTTAATTTGAGAATAGGGAAAGAATGCCTCTTAGGTGCAACAAATGTGTTTCTTGAGAGGAACACCATGATGGGTGATTTGGTTGGCAGGAAGATGGCTCTCAGTGGAGGAACAAGCTGGGCGAGATGTGAGGCAGAGGAAAACTGACTGTTCTGACTGGAAAATACGACATTAGAGCAAATGAATGTGAGTGACAACAGACAGAGGGTCCAGCAAAGGTCAGCATTCCTTGTGGAAGTATCTGCTATCGGGAGTGACTGGGAGACTTGGAAAACAGGTTCTATGACTTAGCTGGGGTTCATGCTGCCAAGATCATGTTCTGGGAGCTTGTTCCCCTGTGGCAGAGCGTTAAGAGATGGAACTGAGCAGGGGACGAGTAGATCATGGGAAGCTCATGCTCGGGAGGAATTAATGCTGGTCTGTTAGGAGTAGGAGATGACAGAGCAAGTTTGCAGAGGAATCCGAACTCCTCCCACTCGATAACTCCTCCTACTCTCTCACACCTCCCACTCCCCACCCCAACCCTGCGTGTCCATGTTCTCCTTCTGCTGGCAGCTAGCTAGTTCTCTGCTGTCCTGTGAGGGACCCCTTTCCAGGACTCTGTCACAATTTGTTTGGACCCTTCAGACACCTGAACTGTAAGCCAAATAACTTGTTTTTAGTGTAGAAGTTACCCAACCCCAGGTATTTTTTTTATATTAACAAATAATTTGGCAGACACATCTGATTTTCAGTTTTGAGTTGCTTCCTGTGTGTGTAATCAGGTATGAAACTCATTTTTTTCTCTTTTCCTTTTTTGTTTTTTGATTTTTCTAGACAGGATTTCACTGTAGCTTTGGACCCTGTCCTGGAACTCGCTCGGTAGACCAGGCTGGCCTCAAACTCACAGAGGTCCACCTGCCTCTGACTCCCAAGTGTTGGGACTAAAGAGGTGTACCATCACCTCCTAGTGAAAATAAATAAATAAATGACACGAATAGATACAATTTTGAGTGTGTGTGTCTGTGTGTGTGGTGTGTGTGTGTGAGTGTGTGTGTGTGTGGTGTGAGTGTGTGTGTGTGGTGTGAGTGTGTGTGTGTATGTGTGTGGTGTGAGTGTGTGTGCGTGTGTGAGTGTGTGTGTGTATGTGTGTGGTGTGAGTGTGTGTATGTGTGTGGTGTGAGTGTGTGTGTGGTGTGTGTGTGAGTGTGTGTGTGTGTGGTGTGAGTGAGTGTGTGTGTATGTGTGTGGTGTGAGTGTGTGTTGTGTGTGGTGTGAGTGTGTGTGTGTGGTGTGAGTGTGTGTGCATGTGTGAGTGTGTGTGTGAATGTGTGTGTATGTGTGTGGTATGAGTGTGTGTGTGAGTGTGTGCGTGTGTGTGGTCTGAGTGTGTGTCAGTGTGTGTGAATGTGTGTGCGTGTGTGCGTGTGTGTATGTGTGTGGTGTGAGTGTGTGCGTGTGTGCATGCGTGTGTGAGTGTGTGTATGTGTGTGTGAGTGAGTGTGTGTGGTGTGAGTGTGTGTGCGTGTGTGAGTGCGTGTGTGAGTGTGTGTGCGTGTGTGAGTGTGTGTGTGCGTGTGTGAGTGTGTGTGTGTGTATTGGCTGAAGCTGTTGAAGCTGAAGGAAGAAAAGGCAAGCAAGGCAGAGCGTAAGCAAGAAACAGAGGCTCGGTACTGGTGTTCAACGACTGCTCAAACAAACTAGCCCTGCCTTCCAGGCACTTGTGATCAGAAGGCGTGAAAGCACCATTCTCTTCCCAAACCCAATCTGTAGCTTCTTTAGATTCACTTAAGATGACCCGCAGGGTCCTCAGCACCCAGAGGCCTGCCTTAGCATCTCAATGTGATCTACAGTGGAAGGGACTCTGATGATACCAGTTTTAAAGAAGGGAGAAAAGGGCCGTCAGAGTTCTGCAGGTATGCCCTCTGTCTCTCCTTTCCTTCATTTTCTCTTGTTTTCATTATCTTGGTTCTCTCTTCCTTCTTTACCCATTTCTTGCCTTCTGCTTACATTTTCCGTTCAGAAGCTAGACTGTGATTGTCTGGATGTGAGCATTCTGGAAAGAGATGACTTTCCTTCTGCCATGCCAGCTTTCTCTTTGGGTGTCTTGGTACCCTGTAGGGAAGAATTGTGTGCAAGTGTTCCTATGCATCTCTGCATAGGCATGGGATGACCCTCATTTACCCAAACACGAGTCCAAATTCCTTACAGAAAAGCCAGTTAGCATGTGGGGAGCACACAGAAGACTAAGTAAGGCTCTCAGGAAGACAGCTTGGGTTTTAGAGAAAAGCAGTATTGGGTAACCAGGGCAAAATGAGGAAGATCTGTGGAAACTGTGTTCTTGGTCTTTATAAGGGACAGTGGTGCTGCTGTTCAGCCTGCTGTTACAAATCCTGCAGGTTTCCTTTTACAATTATAATCAGTTTATCAGTTGCATCTTTCCTACTAAATACAAAGCTCCTGAAGGTAGGAGCTGTGAAGTTCTTATATAGAGTCAGGTATATGACACACATTATTAAGCACCACTGTTTATTCCCACTTGTCATAATTCCGCCTACACAGGGAAGAGTTGTAAGAGGTTTGCCAAAGGAGTAAATAGATGGGCAGGTGCTCAGGAAGGAGCACAGACTGACTTCACACTGCACATCTACATTGAGTGCTCCCACTTAGGACATCATATACCATTCAAAAATGTTGAAGCAGGACGAAAACTTGCGTAGTTAAATTAATTCTTCCATTAATTATTAATATAAGCAGATAAAAATAATTCAAGGTTAGAAAAACAACTACACAGGATTTTTTTGATAGATTCAGAATTTATTTGTAATTTTTTGAAACACCTGTCACAGCGAATCATTTAACTAAGCAATTTTAGTCCTGAATTTCATTTTGTATACGTATAGCTCACAATGACTATGAGTAGTTTTGTGCCTTTTAATAGATAATAGGCATGAATCTATTTATGTTAGAGACTGCAGTCCTCAATCTTTCTCTTCTGGTAATGCTCTTATTTGTAGCCATTTCCTCCGGTTAACTCCTCGGAAAAGCATTTTGCCAGGATGAAGTATGTAGCACCAGGCCCTGACAAATGACCCCATTAGTCACAGTGTCTATCTGCTGCTCATAGCATTGAAGGGTGGGCCCTTTCCAGAGATTGTAAGATTTCCTGCTGCTCGAGAACAAGGATTGCAGGGCCAGGTTGAGACTTGCTTGTGATTACAGTGGGATGACTCATAATTTGATGGAAATCGAGACCCGTGATTCCTTAGCAGTCTGAAGCTGTGAGACAGAAACATCGTATGAGTTATGGTATTCATATGACTCGCATTCGTACTCCTCTCAATAGTATTTTTATAGCTTTCATATATTTTTGTGGAGTATGCATGCCTTTTAAAAGGATGGCACCCCCACTTCAAGATGTTAAGAGAGAACTCTTATGGACTAAAGGACTTCTGAAATGCTTGTTTATGGATGATTTGACTTTGCTTAATATAATCCTAATAATCTACTACAAAAGAAACAGTGCCCATTCTTTCATTCTCCAGGAGCCTAGGTGTTTTCCTCCAAGCTTTTTTCCTCTTTACGAGCTGGAATTTAGGCTTAGGTGAGTGTGGTAATTTCAGGCAAGACTGGACACATAAGCAATTCCATAGATTCCAGTGGTTGCTTTGTTGGTGTGTGCAGAATCCTTCTGGGAAGGGAGATGCTCACTGGGACGTTAGCAGGGTTGCAGGTGTCACACTAAATTGTCACACAATCCCATTCAGTTCAGGTTTATGAAAGATATAATCAAATACCATAGGCAAAACCATTTACAGATAATATAGCCAACACAGGATGTGGGTTTAACTGACAGCAATGTGCACATTTCCCTGACCTGGTGTTACGAGAAGCTTTTCCTTGTGAGAAACCATTCCGCCCGCCTGGTTCTAGATCCGCATCAGTCCCAAATAAACACACAAGACGCTGTATTAATTATGAAGCTGTTGGCCTTGCTTGTCTCTTACTGGCTACCTCTGCCTTAAGTAATTACCCCATAATTGTTAATCTAAGTATGTCTCTTACCGGAGAATAGTTCTGGGCTCCTACCCCCATGGCGGTTACATGTTGACTCTCTTGTGTTTCTCCTACCCAGAATCCTCCTGGATTCCTAGCCCCACCTATCTAGATTCCTATTGGCCAGACAGTGCTTTATTAGCATAAGACTTCCCCAACATCTCCTCTTTTCTGTTTAAACAAAAAGAAAGGTCTTAACTTTAACATAGTCAAATTGTATATGACAGAACAGTTATCAAGTAAGAACACAGTTACAACATTTTGTCTATTAACATTTAGCAAGATCTAAAGAAAATATCATCCATCCCATCCTTGTGAGTCTAAAGTTCTATATGTAGCTTATCTCTTATCATAACTAAGGAAAACTATAACTATCTGTCTTCAACTCCATCAAAGACCACAGAAGGATAATATATAAACACTAGGATTGACAGAGACATCTTGCTACCTGGACAGTCACCCAAAGTTCCTCTGTAATGTTGGGGCATCCATCTTCAGCCCATAGGCCACAATGTGTCTGGAACACTTCTCAGCAAAGCAGGAAATTTCAAACTGTCCATCTGCGCTGGCAGTCTGTCAGTCATTTCTCTGTGTCCTGCAGAACGTCTCCTAGACTCTTCCATGAAGCAGGAACCCTGTAAGACTGAGTTCACCAGTCATTTTCCTGTGGGTTCTGCATGTCCAGATTATACAACAACAGTCAAGCAGTACAGGCAAGAGCAGTTTCTTGCCCAAATGGCTAATCTTGCCATGTTGAAAGCAAACTCCATAACAAGTTTCTTCGATGCCCATCTTCCTCTCAGACGTAATTGGTGCTGCCAGGAGCAGACATTTCTCATTGTCAAGAAAAGCCCTAAACCATTTTAAATGCCATGTTCTGAAGGTCTTTGAGAGGTTTGAAGACTGTCCATCTCAAATATATTTCTGTATATCTAGAAACCTACTTATGTAAATAGAAATTCTATTATAAGTAACTGTCTATAGTCTGTATTCAATTATGCATTACGTTGTAAAAGATCAGTATAAGCACAATACTTAATCAAGAGGAGAAATATAAGCATCACAAAATTGACCTTGATTTTGTCTCAATAAATGAAAAACAATACCCATACCATAATTCCCCTTTTTACCATTAAAAAAGATTGGCTGTGATCACTAGCCAATTATAAACAATCCCATTTAAATGAAAACAAAGTTTTATAAACAAGATGGGAATTGGGACGTCGCTCATTCCAAACTGCTTCCTGCTGGAAGGGGGCGCTGTTCACACCATGGGGATCATGACAAAACTCAGAAACCTGTATAAGTCCGTATTTTCGGGGTCTGTAAAGCTCCATCATCTTAACTGTCTCAGTCGTTGGAACACCTGGTCCACTGCTTCCGGGGGTCTTGGTTCGTGAAACCACAGAAGCCTGGAAGGAATTCTCAGCTTTTCATTTTCTGTAGAAACATAAGCAAAAACTCCTTTTCCGAGTAACATATCCTTATACTTAAATTTTGAAGTCAAGTCATTTTCAAAAGATAGAAGTTGGATTAATTTAGCAGCATTTATAATCAAGTGTACTTTAGCAGCTGTTCCTTCCTGAGCAATTAAAAAATTGAAAAACACAATAGCGTACAATATCCAGACTCTCTGTGTATTTTCCATCTTTACGTGGCTTATTTATTTATTATTACTTTATTTCTTTCACTTTTATTTCTTTTTCTCTGAGACAGGGTGTCTCTTTGGAAATCCGCCTGCCTCTGCCTCTGGAGCAATTCCTACCGGCGTGCGCCACCACAACGCCAGCTTTTGTATTTATTTACCACTTTGCAGTTTCATTTTCTCTCTCAATCTCACGTATATTTTTAAACACACTGTAAACCTTTAAAGGTTTTGTTCATCCAAGTCTGACTTTACTGTAAATCTTTATGTTTTTCTGGCCACGTGTCTTATCTGTAAAACCGCGGCTGTTTTAAACTGCCTCTTTTTTTTTTTTTCCAAGATGGCGGGCGTAAGCATGATTCCATCTTACCTCCTCAGTCCATGCTGACCTCCAGCAAAGCTGCCACTTCCAGCTGTACATACACACTTTTCAATCGTTAGCAGAGTCTCTTAAAACAATCTTGCTTTTTTTTTTTTTTTTTTTTTATGCCGAGTCAGGAAGACTCCCGTAAGCGAGCCACGTGAATCTCGGCTTGTCGTTAGCAAAACAGAGCACACCTGAGAAAAATGCTGCTACCAAAAATCTGTGCTTCTCTCTGTTCTTCTGTTTCTAAAATTCCTTTAAAGCTTTTGTTATTTTGCGTGGAAATTCATGATCCCACTTCCTGACACCATTATGTTACGAGAAGCTTTTCCTTGCTGCAGAACCACCAGTCGCCTGCCTGCCGCCAGCCTGGTTCTAGATCCGCATCAGTCCCAAATAAACACACAAGACGCTGTATTAATTATGAAGCTGTTGGCCTTGCTTGTCTCTTACTGGCTAGCTCTGCCTTAAGTAATTACCCCATAATTGTTAATCTAAGTATGTCTCTTACCGGAGAATAGTTCTGGGCTCCTACCCCCATGGCGGTTACATGTTGACTCTCCTGTGTTTCTCCTACCCAGAATCCTCCTGGATTCCTAGCCCCACCTATCTAGATTCCTATTGGCCAGACAGTGCTTTATTAGCATAAGACTTCCCCAACAACCTGGAGGTGTACTTTTCACTTTTAAGAAACATATACATAGATCACAGCAAAACCTTTTCCTGTCCCCTTCTTGTCTCATCCCTCCTCAAAGGTAGCATCCTTTGGGAGCTGGTGAATCCTCATGGAAATCCTTGATCTTCTAGTATGGATTCATAAACAACATGCAAAATTGTGTGCTTTTAGCTTTAACAGAGATGGGTCCATGCTGAGTGTAACTTACTTTTCTATTTAACATGATGCTTTTTGGATATTAACACATGCAAATTTAGTTCATTGGTTTCAGTAGTAGGGACAAAGCACACAGTGCATTGAATCTCTTACAGTGCTTCTTATGGTGTTTGCTGCTAAGAAAGGTTTTTGTGTCCTGAACACCTACATAGAATTTTTACATGGCATTTTCTGATGGCATTTCTAATTTATAATAACTATACAACTTCAGTTTTTCTAGATATTTCTAGATGGCTTCATAAAGTCTTTGTGTAGATTTATACTCTTTGGTCAATATTCAAGTTTATTTTCCTCCACATTCTTACAAATACATGGACATTATCTGTCTTAAAACTTTGCCAACTTGTGAGAAGAAAAGGCTAGCTTTTTTCTTTTCCTTGTGTAAAATAGCTGGCTGACTTGAACTTGTTATGAAAGTTTGGGGTGGTGGCTCAGTGGTAGAGCATTTGCCTAGCATGCACAAAGCCCTAGGTTCTCTGTCTGACATTGAAAAATATCAGTAATTATGGAACCAAAGGCACACATCATGATGTATTTTCTTTGCCAACTTGATTGGGTTTGGACATGTCAGTCATATTGTTCATGGAGAGATTGAACCTAGGGGAAAAGTCCCCACTTTAATGTAAGAAGCACAACTCCTTGGATTTAGATGCTAGAAAAATGAAGTAGAAAGAATAGAGGAAGTGAGCTGAGCACCAGCTGAGAACTGATGCAGTGTGACCTGACCCTTCCCATTCCACCATCATGCCTTCCCTACTGTATTACACTGCGTGGCTTCCCCACTGTGTTACACTGCGTGGCTTCCCCACTATTACACTGCGTGGCCTTCCCCACTGTATTACACTGTGTGGCTTCCCCACTGTATTACACTGTGTGGCTTCCCCACTGTATTACACTGCATGGACTTCCCCACTGTGTTACACTGCGTGGCTTCCCTAATGTATTACACTGCGTGGCTTCCCCACTGTATTACACTGTGTGGCTTCCCCACTGTATTACACTGTGTGGCTTCCCCACTGTATTACACTGCGTGGCCTTCCCCACTGTATTACACTGTGTGGCTTCCCCACTGTATTACACTGTGTGGCTTCCCCACTGTATTACACTGCATGGACTTCCCCACTGTATTACACTGCGTGGCTTCCCCACTGTATTACACTGTGTGGCTTCCCCACTGTATTACACTGCATGGACTTCCCCACTGTATTACACTGTGTGGCTTCCCCACTGTATTACACTGCATGGACTTCCCCACTGTATTACACTGCATGGACTTCCCCACTGTATTACACTGCGTGGCTTCCCCACTGTATTACACTGCGTGGCTTCCCCACTGTGTTACACTGCATTGATTCCCCACTGTATTACACTGCGTGGCTTCCCCACTGTATTACACTGTGTGCCTTCCCCACTGTATTACACTGTGTGGCTTCCCCACTGTGTTACACTGCATTGCTTCCCCACTGTATTACACTGCGTGGCTTCCCCACTGTATTACACTGCATGGACTTCCCCACTGTATTACACTGTGTGGCTTCCCCACTGTATTACACTGCGTGGCTTCCCCACTGTGTTACACTGCATTGATTCCCCACTGTATTACACTGCGTGACTTCCCCACTGTATTACACTGTGTGCCTTCCCCACTGTATTACACTGTGTGGCTTCCCCACTGTGTTACACTGCATTGCTTCCCCACTGTATTACACTGCGTGGCTTCCCCACTGTATTACACTGTGTGCCTTCCCCACTGTATTACACTGTGTGGCTTCCCCACTGTATTACACTGCGTGGCTTCCCCACTGTGTTACACTGAGTGGCTTCCTCACTGTGTTACACTGCGTGGCTTCCCCACTGTATTACACTGCATGGACTTCCCCACTGTATTACACTGTGTACCTTCCCCACTGTATTACACTGTGTACCTTCCCCACTGTATTATACTGTGTTGCCTTAAACTGAGTTAAAATAAACTCTTTCCTACTAAGTTGGATTTGTGAGGAACTTTGTCAGAGCAATGAGAAAAGTATCTAAAACCAACACAATGCAGTCACCTTTTATTTTCTTCTAGGATCTCTGACACAGAGAATTCTATCTCTAGGTTTGTTGCAACAGAAAGATTAGTCCAAGATGGATAGCCATAAATTTATTTTCCTGTTCGAAAATACTGTCATGGACACCCATGAAGCTTTATGTCCCCTCCTTTTGTGCCCTATCTCCTGTGATTTTCCTTTCCCTGTAGGAACTATTCATGTGTTTCTGTGTGCACCTTGATTTTACTTGCTAGATAATTTGAATGGTCGTCAGACTTCACTCAACATTATGATACGCATCACTGTGGTTTTCCATGAAGTTGTAGAGTTTGTTTTCACACTCTGCTTTGTGAATAGAACACAATCAGTTAACATCTTTCAGTTGTAAGGGATTTGAATTGTTTGTGATATGTAGATTTTTGATCATTCCTCTCAGGACTACTTCCTCTAAGGCATTCTTTTATTAAAGCTACAACTAACAAGGTTTAGAATATGCAACTTTTCATTATACTGATATTTAAAAACAATTGTAAGAGTCTGCTATGAAGCATTTTTGGTCTTGTGTTAATTTTACATAAGTTAAGGAAAATAGAGAGCTGGTTAATCTTAGCATTTGACAATGTCAAAAGTCAGTATTGTTTGATGAAGTTTGAGCAGTTGGTCCATTTGTCTCTTCTAGGATTTAAATCCAGTAAGGCTGAGTTGAGTAGTAGTTCCTTTTTATTTTTTAAATACTTTAATAGCATTTTATTTATTTTCAATTTGTGTGTGTGTGTGTGTGAGAGACAGAGAGAGAGAGAGCGAGAGAGAGAGAGAGAGAGAGACAGAGAGAGAGAGAGAGAGGGAAGGAGAGGGAAGGAGGGAAAGAGAATGGGTGGAGGAGGCCTTTAGGGTAGGGATGAATTCATGTTCCACATGTAGAAGACAGAGAACTATTTGAAGTTGGTTCTTGCCTTCCGCCATGAATTTTCAGGGATCTCATGTCATCAGGCTTGGTACAAGCACCTTTATCTGCTCAGCCATCTACCTGATCCCCCTTAATTAATCACCTATTATTTATACTATTATGTCTCTTTTTATTAATACTAATATTGTTATGGGTTTACTTTTATTTTGTCACTTTTCAAAGAGAGTTCATTGAGCTTCTGTATTTTGTTTTTATTTTCTATTTCACTTTCTTAACTAACTCCAATCATTGGGCTTATTGTTATATTAGACTTAATATTGTTACTTTTCCTTAATCTCTAAGCGTTATTAAATCAATTACCGTGTATTTTTGACCAGAGATTTGAATGGAGACTCTAATTTTCTTACTTTCAGTTTTCTGGTGTAGGTGTAACCAGAAAACACGATCTCTATATTTCTTTCCTGAAATATTTTATGATTGATGTGTTTTAGGTAACACTATATGGTCTTGTGTATTACATATGCGACACATGTCTGAGGTTTTTGTTTGTTTGTTTTTTTTCCCCTCCATTTTTCTCTGTTCTGTCTTCAGTAGGAGTATGTTGGCCAGGAGAGGGCTGAGGAGAGAAGATGAGCTGTTTTGTTAGTGTCTAGGTCTAGAGGACTGTAACTTGTAATCAGGAGTCGGGGTTGGTGAGATAAACTTGTAGATGGGCAGTTGCTGGCTGGCGAATGCCCAGATGCAGCTCGGATGCCGATCGCTTCAGCATTCTTTGTGTCAGGCTAGATCTGGGAAGAGCATGGTATACAAAACGAAATCCCACAGAGCTTGTTCATCTCATCATGGGTTAGAGTCCATGACTGGAGAACATGACCAGCCATTCCTGCTGCAGGCTGTGGCTGACATAGCTGAGGGGCATCTTAACTGTGCTTTCTGCTTGTTCCCTGGACTTCAGGTAGGTCCATCCTGCTGGATTTTCACAAGCAACATTGTTCTTTCAGCCAGTATTTACTATTGATAAAGGTGGACTAGTGGTTTATATATGAAGGTAGTTTTTGTGTTTTCTCTTTGTTACTAATCTGTGAATAATCCGTTATTTGTTTTCACTTGAGTCACTTTTGTTACATATTCGCACATATATCCTTATAAATCACAGATTTTATGACTTTCTCTCATGTGCAAATCATTTATTTATTTATTATTAACAGTATAGCATACATTTGTATTTGTTTAACGTTGGGTTCTCATTGACCTTGTTTTTACTAGTTTTTCTACCTTTTGATATTTAACTAAACATGCCATTATGAAAGGGAGTCTATATGATGTATTATTTGGAGTGGCAGTTTACATAAAATAGGAATTGTATATCCTTGAAGTGTTTATAGAAACCCCTGTAAAACTTCCCAATCTAAATACTGTGCAATATGATTTTAAACTATTGATTAATTCCAACCAATAAAGAATTTCACTCAATTTTTCTATTTATTCTGGTTCACATTAGTAATGATAGGTTTAAAAATTATTTTAAATTAGTTTTCTAAATGTTTCGTTGCATTCATAGCAATTATACTTTCAAATCTATACTTTGTTGTGAGTTATCATGTGCATTTTTCTATGTCTTGTCTCCTTTTGCTTTTACCTATGCTGACCAACACATGGTTAATTTCCTGGCTTTCAGAAAAGTAGTTGCTGTTCCTGTGATTTCTCATCATTGTATTTA